ACCTGCGTCCGGTGGCAAGGCACGTCACTCATTGACGTGTCCTTCGCCACCCCGCCGCTCGCGGCCCGTATCCGGGGCTGGCGGGTGGAAGCGGATGTGGAGACCCTATCGGACCACCGATATGTCCGGTACGAGGTCTCCACGGCATCCCCAGGGGCCCCAGTGGGCCCCAGTGCGGGCGGCTCGCCGTTCAAACGGTGGGCGCTCGCACGCCTCCAGCCGGATGTGGCGGAGGAGGCGGCGACGGTGCGGGCCTGGGCAGGGGTCCCGGACGCCGTCGCTGGGGATGCCGACGGCATGGCGGACCTTTTCGCGGACGACATCAACGTCGTCTGCAGCGCCGCCATGCCTAGGGCGCGGGTTGGCCCACGGAGAAGGGGGCAGGCATACTGGTGGACGCAGGAACTCACGATCCTGCGTACCGCCAGTATGAGGGCCAGGCGCGCCTACCAAAGATGCCGTAGGCGCGCCAGACGAGCGCCCGGCGAAGAGGAGGTCCTCCGCCGGGCGTACAACGAGGCCCATACGGCCCTGCGTGTCGCCATTTGCAGGGCCAAGGTCGCTGCCTGGGATGAGTTTCTGGCCACCCTGGACAGCGACCCCTGGGGGAGGCCGTACCGGACGGTGAGGGGGAAGTTCGCTTCGGCGGCCCCCTCCACGTCTGAGATGGAGCCTGCGCTGGTGAGAAGGGTGCTGGGGACACTTTTTCCAGACCCCGGGCCCTTCGAACCCCCCAGGATGCTGCCCCCCGGTTCTGCTCCGGGGGCGTGGGCAGCTGGTCCCCCCGTGTCTGATGCAGAACTAGACACGGTGAGGGACCGGCTCCGGAGCCGCAATAAAGCTCCGGGGCCGGACGGGGCCCCGGCCAAGGTAATGGCCATTGCCTTGGGCCCCCTGGGAGAGCGATTCCGCGCGGTGCTCGACACATGCATCGCGACGGGTCGCTTTCCCAGGCGCTGGAGAGTGGGGCGGCTTTGCCTTCTCCGCAAGGAGGGCCGCCCGGCAGACTCCCCAGCGGGCTACCGGCCGGTGGTGTTGCTCGATGAGTCCGGGAAGGCTTTTGAGAAGATTCTCGCCTCCCGGATCATCGAGCACATCGAGGGTGAGGGGCCGGACCTGGCGGACTGCCAGTTCGGCTTCCGATCCGGCCGGTCCACGATAGACGCGGTTGGCCGTCTCAAGAGGTGGACTGAGGCGGCCACAGCTCGGGGGGAGGTGGTGATCGCGGTGTCCTTGGACATCGCGAACGCATTCAACACCATCCCCCACGAGTGCATAGAGGCGGCGCTCGAGTTCCATCGAGTGCCACTCTACCTCCGCACCCTCGTCCGGGACTACCTGCGAGACAGGTCAGTCCTGTACGAGGATGCGGAGGGCCGCGTCCAATCGTGGCCAGTGAAGGCAGGCGTACCCCAGGGTTCCGTATTAGGTCCCCTCCTATGGAACCTGGGGTACAACTGGGTCCTGCGGGGTGAGCTCTTGCCGCGCATGGATGTCGTCTGCTTTGCGGACGACACCCTAGTAGCGGCGAGAGCGAGAGGGTGGGAGGAGGCGGTCCGCCTTGCGTCGGTCGGCACCTCCATGGTCGTCCGACGCATCCGCCTCCTGGGACTGGAAGTGGCCCTCGAAAAGACGAGGGCCATGGCCTTCCACGGTCCCAGACGCAGGACCCCGCCGGGGCTCCGTGCCCGGGTAGAGGGGGTGTGGGTTCCGGTCGAGATGCACCTTAAGTATCTCGGCCTGACCCTAGACCCCCGATGGAGCTGGGAGGAGCATTTTAGGCTCCTCGCTCCCCGGCTGTGCGGCGTCGCAGCCGGACTCGGTCGCCTCCTCCCCAATGTGGGGGGGCCGAAGGCGAAGTGCCGTCGGCTTTATCACTCCGTGATAAAGTCGATGGCGCTGTACGGGGCCCCGGTCTGGGCTGAGTGCCTCTCGTCCCGCACGAGGGCCCTCTTGCGAAGACCGCAGAGGGTCATCGCGACCCGGGCCGTGCGGGCTTACCGCACGGTCAGCCACGGGGCTGCCTGCGTCCTAGCAGGTACGCTCCCGTGGGAGGTTGATGCCCTGGTACTGTCCCAGGTGCATCAACACCGGGTCGCGGCGAGAGAGCGGGGCGAGCGACCCGTTCTAGAGGAGGTAGAACGGGTCCGCACCGAGGCGCAGGGGGAGGCTCTGCGCCGATGGGTGGAGGCACTCGCCAACCCAGCCGCTGGCCACCGGACGATCGAGGCGATTCGTCCGGTGTTGGAGGAGTGGGTAGGGCGCCAGCGGGGCACCCTCACCTACCGCCTGGTGCAGGTACTGACCGGACATGGGTGCTTCGGTCACTACCTGCACCGAGTCGCCCGTCGGGAGGAGACGCCGCGGTGTCATCACTGCGCCTCTCCCGACGACACGGCCGAGCACACGTTGATCGTGTGCCCGGCCTGGCGAAATGAGCGCCGCGATCTGATCGCGGCGCTCGGCGGAGGAGGCCTAACGCTGCCAAGTATGGTAAGAGCCATGCTTGGTAGCGAGAGAGCCTGGAGGGCTGCCGCCTCCTTCTGCGAATCTGTGATGGCGCAGAAGGAGGCAGCGGAGAGGGAGCGGGAGGAGGACGCTCTAGCCGCCCCTCTCCGGCGTAGACGGGTGGGCCGAAGAAGGCAGGCAGCTGTGACTGCCGGTCTTCGACGGCCCTAAGGTGGCCTGGGCGCGGCCTGACCAGCCGCGCGCCCTAGGTGCCGCTCCGGCATAGGCCACCACGTCTGGGGACTGCCTAGTACCCTAGCGCAGTCCCCCTGAGGCGCGTCGCCCGGTCCACTCGTTGGGCCGGGCCTGCCCGGGGGCGGGCTCGGAGTTGTGGCGCACGCAGGTGCGTCGGCCCCGAGACGCCCCCAAATGGGCGTAGGAGGGTACCGGGGGGTTTTAGTGGAGTAGGATCAGTGTGGCCTTCCGCACTGGTCCTGCTTGAGTAGGGTCGGCACTGTTTCCCGTGCCGGCGAGTCCCACACACGCCGTGCGCCTAGTCAGCGTCACGGTATGGTGCGTAACTGCATTTCCCCTCGTCACAAAAGGTTCCTGAAGGATTTAAAAAATCTCATGTTAACGCAGACGATGCCGCGGTCGGTCGCTAGTAGCCAATATACGCTAGCGATATCAGAGTTCCATATCATACGCGCATTGCCAACATACCTGACCTCATGGAGCCATAAAAAAGCCCTCACTCTTGTCTTGATTTTTATTATGATTGCAATCTATACTATTCGTAAGTGGAATTCTTTGCCTGCGCACGTCTCTCTCCTTTCTACAATCGGGGTCTTTTAAAAGGCGTGAAGAAGCATTTTTGCAGGCCGGCAAGAAGACGGTTGGCGTGGCAGCTTATAACTGCTGTACCAGCTATCTTCGCGGTTGGACTTTATCACCACTTAACATCAGGTAGGGTAGAGTCATTTGCCTAAAAACCTATATACAATAATAAAAAATCTTTTCATAAAAGAAGCTTAAACCTGGTGGTATGCGTCCTTATTAATTTCTTAAATAGAAAAAAATCCTATCAGTGTAAAAAACCGTTTTGACATCATAGAAGAGAGGTTTGTATTACTAATTAAAGACTGACTTTAATCAAACTTAGAGAAAAGAAGCCGCTGCTCTTAGGGCCTGCGCTGCGTTAAGCGGGAGCATGCAGTGCAGTTCCTTAAAGTTACCCAGGCAATTCTAACCTTCGCTTTAATATTGAGGGAATGCGACGTCATAGAGGTACTTCTACAAGGCAATAAGGGTATTCTAAAGTGCTACAGTTGTTTTCTAAGGGCAACAGTACGTATTTATATATTATTTTATACATATTGGTCAGACTGGTGTAATGTAAATAATATAATGAACGTAAATAATATAATGGTTAAAGTTAATGAGATCTGGTGAGGGTAATTAGAGGCTATCTCTCGACTTTCCTTGAACTTTTTTTGTGAGTAGTAAACAGTGTCTTTACAGTTCCTGTATGCAGTTGCGTCTGTGGTGTTTCACTGGACATAAAAAAGGAAATGCAATGCATATAATTTTGTAAATACTATGCCTAAAAGACTTTTTTATGTTAGATATTTTTGTTCACAGAAGTTGAGACCGCCACTGCCTATTGGAGTGTTCCTGAACTATTTGGACATTTATTATTGTATTTATTATTCATTTATACTAAAAATAAAGTTTACTAAAATAACAACAAACAATTGTAAAGTAAGTAGGTATATCATGAATGTTAAAATGTTTATAATTTTTCTCTACAGAAGAACTCAATTCATAATCAAATCCTCTTTCATATTTCATAGTGTTTTTATAAATCTTATTTTAAGATGAGATTCAAATGTTGCTTATTTACATAAAATTACATTTTCCATAATTGTTCCCTTAGGTTAGTATCTACAAGGTCAGTGATGTTACTTACAATATATATATAATAATTTAAATATTTATATTATTTAAAAAGTGACTATTACAATGTCTTGATTGAACCAAACGTTGAAAGTATTTCTCTTTTTACTAAAATAATTACAATTGAATTAGTTAAAGTTGAGTACCCTAAGTACCAAAAACTGCCAAATTATGTTGGGTAGAGTTAAAATTAAATCTTAATTAGAGCTGTTAATACTGATATGAATACTTAAAAGACATTGTAATAATGACAATGATTTGTATGAAAATTTTGTGCAGTACAAAAGGACTTGTGTCTTATAAAAGTCATTATCTACCTAGTAAAGCGTAAAATATTATTGTATCATCATAGAATTTTGAGCTCCATTTCAAAACTTTATGAACTAATGTTGCTGGATCTCACTATATATAATCCCTTCTTCAGGAAATGACTAGCAATTGAAGTGCAAATTACATTCTCACATTAATGTTTTTTTGAATCACCGCTTCTACATGCACGATATGTAAATGCACCCCCAAGCTCAATATTTTAAGCGTAGTAGAGATATGACTTAAAACTTGACTAGCACAGTTTCAATAATCACATAGGGCTAAGATTAACTCGGTTTAGTGTTTAGAGTACTAGTACTTTTTGATTTGGAATCATGTGGTGGCATTGGACGAGCAATGCCAACTCTGACTATACCTCTTGGAGCACCTTTCAAAGCTTGCACAGCTTGGTCTAGGGTAGCATTCTTAATACTAACACCATTCACTGACATGACCCTGTCCCCAGGTGATATTTCACCATTTTTCTCTGCCATTCCTCCAGGCACTAAACTTCTTACGACAATAACGGTTCCATTAGGATCCACCGGATCTTGGTAGTCTAGGATAGAGAATCCAAGACCTTGATCTGCTTTAACAAGTTCTACAATGTCTTCTTTACTCTGCCACATGGCGAGACCTGAAACACACTCAAGGGAACGCGACTTCCTGGAATGACCAGAGTGATTTGTCAAAGTAGCAGTGCTTGATGTGTTGATTGAAGTATCTGATTGGGCCTTTACAAGTGTGGTCAAGTTGTTGAGACTACCAGATATAATTTTCCTTGCTTCAAATCCCTCTCTATCAGATGCCAAGTTTATGAGAGGTCTGGGACCGCTTTCAGTGCTGTTTCTTGCACAGACTAAACGCACCCGATTGGGCAGCTGCTTCAAAATATTGACAACTTCAGTGTGAGTCAAACCATGTAACCGATACTCATTAGCTTCGAGCAATTCATCGCCTGCTGACAAAGTACCTTGTTGACCAACTGGACCCTCCGGGAGAACAGACCTAATGTAGTGGTGAGGTCGGACTTCCTGTCCTCCTTCTACGTCTACAGTGCCTTCTAAACTAATACCGAGACCTTCTAGTTTGTGAACTTCAGCCACAATAATTTCCTTTTCCAAACCTATTTCATCCTCCCATTTCTTCCTGATTTCTTCACCACTAACAGATAGGATTTCATCTAGTCTCCGATCAAGCTCTTCCTGAGTAGGTTCTTCACCTTCTAGCTCTCCTACTTCTAAAACATTAGAATCTATGGTAGTGTTGGATTCTGGCTCAGGTTCTATTTCTGTTAAACTATTATCTGCTTGGGAAGGCACTGGAAACCAGGAGAGGGTGGTTGTGGTCGGCGAGGGTGAGGGAGGCCTCTCCTCATTGAATATTGCTAACTGAAGGTGCTCATACTTTGGACCTCTTAAATATCTTTCTAATACCAAGTGAACTGAAATACCTGTGTTCCTCAAAATATCTACAGCTTGAGGATTACTCTTGTCCACTAGAGACACACCGTCCACTTCTATTATTCTATCATTAAGTTTAATTTTACCACTCTGCTCAGCACTACTGCCTTCTATAATACTTTTCACAAATATACCAGACAATTCTTCTTTTTCACAAACATAGCCCGCCACAGTTATACCCAAACCGTATACATTTTTATTCAAATCAACATGCACAATCTCCACTTCAGGTAAATCTGGTATCTCCACTGGTACAGTGATGGTGATGGTGGGAGACACAGATTCTGCTACAACTGGATGATCAGGAATCTGCTGTGGGTTGTCCCCTAGAACACTGACGGCTGCTACAACAATATTTTCTGTTTCTTGCCCATTGAGATACTCATTGTAGCACTGAGAAACGTCATAGACAGCTCCGTAGCCGCATTCTATGAGATGGCGGTCGAGGAGTTCAGGGTCAGTGAGAAGTTTAGTGGGTACCAGTGCTGTGCCAGGTAAGGGGGCCCGCAGAGCGGCGGCGGGGTCTGCAGGACGTGCTACTAGGAGACGCACGGAGGGGCCGGCCTGGCGCAGCACCGCAGCCACTTGCTCGGACGTGAAACCACGCAGGTTTACAGACCCGACCTGCAGAACATGGTCCCCGCTCTGCAGTCGCCCATCCTTGTCCGCAGCTCCGCCCGGTAGCACGTATTTGATCACCACACCTGTGCTACGCCCACCGACCAGGTTGAAACCGAGTCCGTTCCCGTCGTTGGTCAGCTCTACGACTTCCACCTGCGCCCATTCGGTACTCAGCACCATCGTCCTCACCATCGGGCCATTCTCGACGTTACGTGATAGACACCACCCGAGTTTCACTGAGGTTATGGTCTCCGAATGACGACATCGTGACCAGTATTTCACTTCGCACAACGCAAATCACCCGCGGGGACAAAAATTTAAATAACATTTATATCTAAAGGTAAAAAATATAAATTAAAATTAGAAAATGACATTTACATACTTGCTGAATCGGAGACAGCGAGAATGTGGCCAGCTTCCACGAAGTATACCCGATGAATAAAATAAAATTCTACTAGATGATACCAATCGCTATAATAAAATTACCATATAAAATAAAAAAAAAATTGTCAATTTCATTTTTGATTTAAGCTATTTCAAACTTTCAAATCGCTAAGTTAAGACATTTATCAGAACGCTAATAACTGTGTTTATCAGAGAGTGTTTGTTATTGTATCTTTACTGGTTAATACTTCTATGTCAATGGTCAAGCCTCAGAACAAACTTCCCCCCCCACCCCCCATTTTAACCATTGTAACCCCCATTTTGTAAAATTTCATTTTATTAAGTTGTTCATTACGAAAATAGGATATTATTATGACAGATATGTTTTAAGGCCGAGACAAAGACCTCTGTTCTAACTATCTCACTTTTCCCGGGTTGGCTTCGCATAAAAAACGTAACTTAAAAAAACCTATTTGAAAGCGTCGACTCCGCAGTCACAATTTTCTGTTACAAGCCGATCAAGAAGTAGTTTTCAGTGTTATGGCAGAACTAAACTTATCGATCGTGTTGTGCCTTCCAGCATCACAGGATGTCCGTTTTATACATTAAGTATGGTTAGAGTGAGTGAGGTGTCAACACATCGCGACATTCAAGCATAGGTCTAACCGTACTATCTATGCGTTCGGTATTTGCATCGCACAGGCGACGGATTTTTGGTTACGTTATTAATCTGAGCAAATTGCTAATTACCGAATGGCCCGAAGACGTTGCTGCACTAAATAAACGAACGATTCAGACTACAAGATTGATCAGACACAATTACCGAACGCAGCTAGTATATTTTTGATTTAAAACATCTGTATACAGATTCACAAAAACGAAACGAACCGGTGAGGAAGCCGCCTTAAATGGCTTGACTTTTTAACAAGCAAAAAGGGACTTTTTGGCAGGATCGGGAAGCGTCACTTTAGCAGTTTTGTTTTTCTTGTTAAAAATTGTGTTGTAGCGGATTTTTTTCTAATAATGGTGGATTATTAACCACTAAGTGTTCGGGAACATGTAAAAGTGTTGGCAAGTGACACAAAATAGCGGAAAGTGTCATTCGACGTTCCCTTAAGAAGTCCACGGGGAGGTTCCAGTAAATCCCCACACTTTTACTAAAACATAGGGAAAGGGGGATTGACTTGACTACCACTTACTTTGACTTGATTTTTGATTTATTACTTTGACCTTTGCTTTGTAAACATTTTAACACTTGACATTGGCTAAATGCACAAGCCGTGCGAAGCCATTTAGAAAAAAAAAACAAAAGTCGTGCTCAGCTCAAGATAGATGGCTCTACCATGTAAGAAGTTTGCTTTTTGATTTGGCTTCTTGCCCCTAGATGGCGCAAGACATTGAGTGCTACATTAAAGTATCGTGCTATGTTGCTACGAACCGCTACGACGAAAAATAAAAGCAATACTACGAACATGGACTTACTACATGGCTACAAGTTATATTATGAACTTGTCTGTGTAATACGAGAATTATATAGAAACGATGTTATGACGTACACAACATAGTCACATTTTCTTTCTTTATTTTACAAATTATTTTTTTGTACAAATGTTATCATTTATCTTGTGCCATCGAAACAAAGTGCAAACTTGCAATGTCCTTACATCTTATGGTGTTTCACCAGATGGCGTTTTCAAATTGATTTCATGTTTCCATAATAATATTTTTATTTGTAAATTTAAGTTTCCGTACCCGAAGGTTGAAATGGTAGCTATATTGCTGTCACTGTGAATGTGTGTTTGTACCACAGGTAATATAGGAGCCAGTCTGCAAATTTTACCTACCATGCCATCTTCATTGCTATAGGTAGTTTTCCAATTACAGTACTAGAGCGTATTATACGGCATAATGCTTAACGTTGAATGTTTCAACTACAGCAACGCTTCGCACAATCGTGCACTCTCAAAAGTAATGTTTTCGTGTGATGCGTGCAATCGTAACAACTCAGTGACAGAAAATTAACAAGTGTTTTTTCTTGAAATTGGCATTGATCGAAATGTTTTATTTATATCGTTAGTAATATTCTTTATTGTAGAATTTTTTTTAAAGCTTTTGTTTCATTACCTATAGTGTTTTTAAATAATCAAAGTTAATTCAAACTGTGTTTAAAAAAATAAATATAAGTATGGATGAAGGTACAAACATTGACTTTTTTTTCAACACTGAACTTAGCGCACTCTGCTGGTGCATTTGAAAATAATTCACGTTCCAATTAAGCATCAGCATAATTCGGCATTGTGCGACACTAAGTCGCATTATGCTCTGTAATTGGAAAACAACCAATATGCTCTAATATTGTCACTGGTAGGCGAGGGTGGATGCCTTTGAAAATGGTCAAAAGTAAAAAATATTAGAACGGGATGGACCTCAAAAGGAAGAGAATGATGTTTCAATGGAAATTATGGTAACTTTCTCATTAAAATATCAAAATAAGCGGCAACCAATATTTTAAATAGAATAAAATACAGCGTTCGTAGTAAAAGAAAACAGGTTTTTACAAAATTTAGTAAAAAAAAGTGGGAGATAAAAACACAATAAACCAAAAAATCTGTTATTTAAATGCTTCGCAGATACTAAATACACAGGTTTTGTGCAAAAAAAGTGAAAATCTAAAAGTTGTAAGTATAATTTTTCTATCTACAACTTTGCCATAATTTTTTTTTCGATATGAGAAGTAGTTTTTTTCTTCCTTTTGAAATGGTTTTCAGCTGTTCTAAAATTTTTGACTATATAAAAGCTCTAGACTATTTAGCATCTGTGCTCTCAGCCAGAGCGTGGGGGAATCACAATATTATAAATGAAACACAGTTAAATTAAGAAATAATTATTTTATTTTTATTGTTTAACATTTAAACTTATGAATATTTTTATTTTTTTACAATACGTATACACAATTCAACGATATTAAAATGTCACTAACTTACTAAAGTGGTCAAAAACATCAGGTGGAGTGCCCACATAATTATAACAAACTAGCTGACCCGGCGAACTTCCTACCGCCTTAGCGTAGCTTTGATGCACTACTTTATTTTGTATAGCTGACCTATCTTATGTATGAGTACCTATTCAATTTGAACTGGAATCTATAATATCCTCCATATAAAAATGAATCCTTATTTCCCTGGTCTCGCCATACCTGAGGACTTTACTAATTTTTATTAAATAAAAAATAACATATATATTTTCATAATAGTCCGAAGGCACGTTAAGCCGTTGGTCCCGGCTGCATCTGCAGTCGTTAGCACCCGCCAATCCACATTGGGCCCGCGTGGCGGGTCATGGCCCAATCTCCCTATTCCATCCATAGGGAAGGCCTGTGCCCCAGCAGTGGGGACATTAATAGGCTGATGATGATGATGATGATGTTGACTTTCAATATATTGGACGAAACATAGTAATATTTTATTTTACCGTATTATAATAATAAGTCTCTGTCTAGGACGTCCAGGTGGCAGCTTTATTGCGAAGAAATTGATTTTTTTATAATAGATGTCGCTAGGTGCGCTTAAATGTGATTCATGTAAGTTGATTTTTCTGAGAGATAAACTTTTTAATGTAATATGAATTGTCATGTTTGTGTACGATAGCGCAAAAAAAAAAATTGTATTCTACCACATAAATTATAGTACTTTTATACTGATAATTAAAGCAATTCGTTCCAATGTATTCTCTAACCATTCCAAAATATCAAAAATGCACAATGTTAATATTCAAGTTTTCACTTCTGCCGGCACTCACGGAGTGCAATCCGTCGTTATTTTTCTATTTTTGTGTAAAAATCTTAATGCAGTTCACAGAGTACATCTACTCACCAAGTTTCAACAGTATAGTTCTTATAATTTCGGATGAAAGTGGCTGCGACATACGGAGAGGCAGACAGACAGACAGACAGATTTTCTTTATATTTTTTTATAAAGTAAGAACCTTGTACAGAGTATTAGGAAACTACAAAAAAAAAAATCAGCCAAATCGGTCAAGCCGTTTTCATGTTATGTCGTGACAACGGAAAACGGGTTTCATTTTTATATATATAGATATCACAAGTTCGATTTTGCCCAAAGGAATTATGTACCTATTTAGGTTCTTGTTCATATCAAAACCAAACCACTAAAATTTAAGTAATAATAGATATTCTTTACTTGTATATTGAAAGACAAATCAACATTTGGAGTCGATGTCCTTTCAATGCCAACCCAACCAGTAAATGCCAACTCAGATCAGACATGCATGGCAACGACTCCAAATGTTGATTTGACTTTCAATGTAGGTAATATAGAGATATCACAAAAGAATTTGCGTTATTTCTTGACCTTTGGTTTAGATTTATAGAATTTTATTTCTCATACGAACTTACACAGACAGTTCACTTAAAATGAGATACATAACTATACTAATAACTTAATTGAAATGCACAGCAATGCTTAAGCACAGCTGCTTTATAAAAGTATAATTTAGTATAATAGGTAGGCAAACTATTGTTATTAGTACAAGCACAATACAAAAATGCAATCTGGCATGTTAACGAGCGACAAAATTATTATTTTGCTACCGTCCCTTCACAAAGAAAAACATGCAATTCGTACCGGCGGAGTACCGATAAGTAACCAAGACGGTAGGTATTGTTTTATCAGTCACTATATGCATAGCATTATGAAAGATGTGGAGTCGCTTATGCAACTCATTGCGTTAAAAATTATATTTATATATTTAATTTTTGAATTTTCTTTTATATAAACCATGTATGTCCT